CGCTTTTCCCCTTTTCTGCAAACCCAAACAAAGGGCAATCAAACAAAACAACACCAATTTCTTCTTTGACCTTCCTGAATCTTCATGCATCAAAGCGCGTGACAACAAATTTAAGTTCTGCCCAGGCGCCTTTGGTGGGTTTCACCTCAGGTGCAAACACGCGGCACGCAGCTGTTCGTGTGGCCGCGCACGACTCAAGTCGTTGAGAAAACCCCTTATCAGTCGCACTTCCCGAGTGGATGGCCCAACAAAATCGGTTTTCCCCCTTTTTAAAATATAATATATATTGTTTACCACCAAAATACGGTTTTCGCAAAAAGCTTTAAGTCCAGGAACTCAGAAAGTGAGCACTGGTTGTTCACATAACACGGACTTGGTGACCGCACGAAAAACCGAGCTAGTGAAGATGCACCTCTGAATGCAAACCTGCGTTGGGCTCTTGGACAAGCCCGGTTGTAAAACACATCTACACCAAACGTACTGGATTCAGCTCAAGCGGCCAACGGCTGACCCCCTCGCAGAATATCTTCTCTCACACGAGTAAAGCCAAGCTGCGTGCGCGTCCAGAAACATGATCCTCAGCTCCGCTTATTGACCCCTCTGCATTCGAAACACGTCCTAGAATTCGAATGGTGGAAAGGAGAGACCCCAGAGTCGGCTGAATTGCACAATTTGTCTGCTGAACCCTCTGAACCTTCTACATCTGCCGAGATTCATGTCGCCGCGCGCCATGTTGCCACCTTCCATTTTGGACCTTGCGCCGAGTGGCCCATTGCTTGTCAACACTGCAAGCACAAGCACTTCAAACTACTTCAAGCCAACCAAATCCTGTCAATTGGCGAATTATTTTGCAGATTTCCGACTCAACACAAATCCCCCAACTGCCTCCAACGCCAAACTGACAATATGTTAAACTAACAAAACCAACCGCCGTGCAAAGAGAGCATTGACATAGCGGAAAGGCTGCAGCTACACACGACTTCAAAGGAGTCTCTTTGAATTTAATTTGGGACCGTTGCACAGGGGACCAAGCAACCATCAAAAGCAGGGGCTCCGCTGCAAACTTGGTTAACTGGTGTCGCGTGCCAACGGAAGCCAAAAAGGAAGTCAGCAACTTTAGGGGACCCCCCAAATTTGAGACAGAGTTTTCAATGGGAAACCAAAGGAAAGCAACAACCTGAGTGACCCCAATTTGAGACCCCCTTGTCATTTGCTTTTCCTCCTGAAAGCATCGAATCGTCGACTGAGGCATTCACTTCACCAGGCCGCGCCGCTCGTGCCGCCGCCTGGGCGCAGTGCACTTCACAGCGAGTTGCTATTGGTCGCAGTGCGTTGACACCTGAGTCACTTGCTCAAAAATGATTCGGTATTAAAATGGTCGTAATCCCAGAACCATGCTTCAAGAATCAAGCCGGAGATCCGCAGCTGGTTGGGATGGTCTCTAACCTTCAATCCCCGAATCGGTTTTCAGCACGTGGCTCTGGCTTTCACCGGGTCCGGTTGAAACGAGGCAACCAACCTTTGACAAGAGGACCACTTGGCTATTCAAGAAATGGGGATCCCCACAACAGGCGTTCCGTTTGGTTTCCCTCGAAACGCGTGGCAAAACGTGGGTAGCCTCAAAAAACACATACCCAACTCCAAGCCCCGGGCAATTGGACCTGGTCATAGCCAGACACTTCCAGGGGCGGCTGGCTTCCGTCGTCGATCAGGATGATCTCCACCTCTAGTCACAAAACCCGGCGATGGTCGTCATGCTGGCGGTTGAAGGGCGGTTAAAGGGTTTAAAACCTTAGGCTTCTCTTAAACCCACATACATCAATCAGCTTGTAACTGCATCCCTGGTCTGGGATGTGGCGGTCTGATGTACTCAATGTACTCACAACCAGCACAGTTGTTTCCAGGTTTGGCCTCGCTTCCATATTCACAATTGGCTGTGGCTCAAAAAACCGGCACCAAAATGGACCCCTGGTAAGTGGAAACATGCACCAAAACCCGCGTAACCCCTCCTGTTTCATTTTGAGCCACCCCCAAATGGCGCTGGGTTCTCCTGTCCATCAACCCTGGCCAAGGTGAAGGAAGGCTCTGCTTTGTTGCGATGCTTACGGCTTTCCCCCCGAGGCGCCAAGACCTCCGCGGGCGTGGTCTCAATGATGGAATCCAGTGTGCGCCTTGGCAACATGCCCAGCCGGGCATTTAGGATACTCCGAAAAGCGTGAGATCTTGTTCACCCACTTCATCTCAAACACAGAAGGGAACAAACCACACCACCGAGCAACAAAGGCAAACCAACTTACGACAACTGTGCTTGCTGCAAAACTGCAGGGCCCTGTTGCGTCGCAGCACAACATGCATCTTTCACCAAGCTGTGTTCAAGTCATCAGGCTAAATGAGCGGTCATTGGGCGAGGGCAACCTACCAATCATGTGCAAGGTCCCATCCTTTTCCTGTGCACCACCTCCCTAAAGTTCCACGATGACTTTGTCGCAGGGAACAACACTTCTCTCCTATGTCATGCCCTCACCTTTCAACCACCATGGCACCTAGCCTTCCGCCTGGTTATTTGGGGAGTGGGCTCGGATTCTCTATGCCGTGCCGCTTCAGATACTGCTGCTCGTTGTGTGCCGTCATTACCACGGAGATGGTCTGGATAGGCGCATCTGCCGAATGAGAACGCCAAAGTGCCGCGAGATGCGCCACCATAAAAAGAAAGAGGGGCGCGCCCTTGTTTGGCCAAGCCCGCTAGGATACATTGAGCAAGGCCACAGCACATAGGCACACGTGGATTCGTGATGATTCAAAAAGAACTTTCTCTGACTTTCCCCAGTTGATCAGCAGCTGCTGCCGAACCGACTGGCTGCCTCTACTGCCAAAGTGGCTGTGAATTGTGGGCCTAAGCGTATGCAACAAGAGCAACGTGTGCAACAACATGCAGCAGGCATTTTGGCCATTCCTGTTACATTCCACGTGTACGTGTGTCAACAGCACTCCCTTTCACTATTTGCCTGTTTACTGACTAGTTCAAGGACTAAGGTCGAACCATGCCTTCCTGACAACAGTCACACGCCTTTTGATTACCGTAATAAGCAACAAGCCATCCCCAGTATTTGCTCAAAACCCACCCAGTTGCCTAGTTCCCCTTGCACATAACTGGAACAAGCTCGTGGTCCGCTTCATTTTGGTGTTTTTCTCTACCCACCAACAAGGGATTCAACGGGTAGGAAGACTTGTGGCCCATGTCCGTCGCCTGGCTTCACCGCCTCCGCAGTGTGGTGGGAGGCCAGCCGGAAATGCGCCATGCAGAGGCACAGCGCCTCAGTCTGCGCAAAAGAGGGTGGTCAAAAGCCGATGGACGTGCCATCTCGGCCCCATCATTGCAGGTGTTCGTACTGGCTCATGCAACAGGTGTCGGATTAGGAAAAAGTTCCACTGTCGCTCACGATGCAATTTCACACAAATGCTTTGCAAAAAAGAACTGACTGCGGTTGTTGGTCGACTCCCCACGTTCACCGCAAGGAACCCCGGCAAACATATGAGTCCACGTTGCCACATGCCCTAGCACCGGTCGAGCTCACCTGCTGCTTAGAATTCAGATTTGCTCCGCAACTAGTCTTCGCACCCACAAGTACAACAAACCAAGATTGCACCACCGCAACACGCCCTCACTGTAGGTATGTTGCAATCGAACAATGCCAAATATGACAACATATACCCACGTACTGTGGATGGATAATCCAGCACCACCTACTAAAACCTGGAATGATGACTCACTCCCCTGTAAATGCCAACAAACAATGGTTTGCCATGGTTTCAAAGTGTTGCGCAATGGATTTCGCAACCATCCACAGTAGCGTGGGCTTCCCGGCGTCGAATTCTGGAGGACTCCCGTCACCTCATATGAAACTCTGAAAGGGTCACGTCAAACTGCGAAGGCGCCATTTGAGCCGCGTAGACGCAGCTCAGGAAGGCTAAGAAGGGCCCCAGCCGCTTCCTAGGGCAAAGCATGGCTGAGAAGGATTTCCATGGGCTCAGCTCTTGAGAGCTGATCACATCAAACCCTAAGCTAGAAGTACCTGGCAAAACCAGCAAAAAATCAGGAATCTGTTCCCCAATGGTTCGATCACCTCGTCCTGCCTCTGGCAATCACATGCCAACAAAAAAACAAGAAGGCCTCAATTCCCAAGGGTCATGGGAACTTTTGCAAGTTCAGGGCACTTACCAGTGATTCGATCTTGCAACCAGTGCTACAAAGTCATCTCCCTCCCGCCTCATCCACAGGAAGTGCAAGGGTACAGCCAGAAGGGCACTGCAGGCCAGCAGCATCAGCAGAATACCTCAAGGCGATGTATTCTCGGTTGCTTTCTGCCCCCCTGCTAGCGGTTTAATGGAAAACCCCCTAGTTGGCAAAAACCCAAAGTCCTAACATCCAAGCAAAATGCACCAAAGTATTGCCACCAAGAAGAAAAGCAACCCGTCTTTGAACCAAGGACATGTCATCTACATTTGCTCTGCAGGCTATCTGGGTTCCAAAAATGAAACACCGGTTTGCTTGCAAAACAGTCAGTTTCTTCGAACATGGGCCAGGACAAACCGAATGCAAAGCATGCTGGCTGAATTCCAGCGGCCTTGAATGGCAGGCGCTGCATAGGGACCACCGTGGTCTCAAAGTGAAAATGCTTCTTCACTCACATGCATTTTGATATGACTGTTTTCTCAGTTGCCCAGTGCCCAGGAACAAAAACGTGTTTTTTATATTCATATTTTGGCGCTGTTTGGCCGCTTTTATTCACAAACGCCGAAGAATTATCTCATGTCAAAACTAATACACGTTGCCGTCTCACAAGACTCAGCCGTAGCGACCGTAGACAGCCGGACATGTTACACTGGAACTCCCGGGCCTGTCTGATATGGCAAGGAAACAAACAGTCCAAATTGACATGGAGCCCCAAAAAGATGTCCCGGCTCCGCCGCATGCTTTGGGAAGCTCTGGGAATGTAAATCTGAAAGAAGTCCCTTGGAAACACCTGGAAGTCCCCCGGCCACGAAAAACGCAGGCCCAACTGCAAGGGATTCGGATCTGTCTGTCAATATGGGTGTGGCAAAATAAGCCAACCCCCACGAAAACACAGCAACCCTCAAGAAATCCCACATCTAAATGTTGCAAGGTGTCCTGCCTTGCTTTGCTTAACGTTCCCTGTTGAATGAGGGCCTGACAGAATCTCCGGTACGGGTGGGCCCTGTTTTTGGAAGCCTTTTGCTTGCTGAAAAAAAATACAATAGGCACACAACTCCACACCTGCGCAACTCGCAGCCGCTCGAGACAACAACCAATCAAGCAATGAATAGGTTGCGATCATTTGCAGCTCCGTGTGGGTCGCGGGAATCTTGAAATGCACGAACATAATGTCATAAATGCCCACGCTCGCATGGAAAAATTCACGGCTAGGGATCACTCCCCTGCGGAAGTGACCAGAACGATCCACACAAGTGCGTGCCAATCCTTGCAAAATTCTAGTGCTGTCACACTGACTGAAAGTAAGGGCCCCCTGTGCACAACAATTTCATCACGGGTGACGTTGCAACCCCTAGCCATATGTGGTGACAACAAAGAAGCAGCAAATGAAACCTAGAATCGGGGATCACCACAAAGGATGAAGTTTTTTCCAGTGGGTGTATGCCGGCTGGTTGTTTCCAAATGTTGGCTCCCAGTTTTTTGCGTCGTAAACTGAGCGGGGGCTTGCCTTATCCGGGCCATATAAGCACATGACCATTGTAGGCACCGCAGGTTCGGGTGCCAAAACGTGGGCGCGCTAGCGTGCGCCTTTTCTTAGCAGCTTTGGACTGCCTGAGTTCTCAGAGCTGCTTTCAGATCGGCTTTGTCTCGTTTGGAGAGCTTTGGCGGCATGGAGACCACTTGCAACCGCAGCCTAGGAACGTGCAAGTGGTTGTTGCCTCCAACAAGGCACCTGTTCTTAGTTTGGCAACTGCCTGCTAGAGCGGTGCTAGCGTGCAGAATTGCCAATGTTTTCACTTTATTGCCGGCCGCCGCTCTAGTTCTCTCGCAGAAAGGGCCACCGTGCAGGATGCATGAAAACATCCGCATCTCACATCCTATGTCCCTTCTAGACTAGATTAATTGCATGAACGCATGAACGCAGGTTCTGGCAAGCTTGAAGAGACTTCAATCAAGGCGGCTTTAATCACACGGAACAAAACCTTTGGAAGCTATAAATTGTCTGGTGTCACGCAACCACCAAAACATCCGCCTAAAAATGGAACATACTCATCAAGCCGGCAACGCCGGCCCAGTGCTGCTCAGGTGCTGTCGGTCCAAAACAGGGCGCCGTAGGCAGGCAGCGGAAAGAACAAACACACCCGGATGTAGTACCTGGCACTAGACGTGGCTTTGCGGGCTGGAACGGTGCAGCCGATATTTTGGGCTGAGAGCCAATAATACACCCCTCTTGCCCCGTGGACAAAGTCTACCGCCTTGCTGGCAACGCTTATGTACGGGTCGCGAAGGTGGCTCAGGAAATCTGGAGATTTCCAATGCCCATCATCGGCGCCCAGCTTGCCGCTGGCTCACACACGGCTCGAACCGCCTTGAAGAACAAATGCAACACCCTCACAAAACTGTCACACCATCACTCAAATACAAAACACACAACCAATGACAGTCAAATGCAACACAACCCCAACCACCTTTCATGGCAGTAAGAGTCTTCCTGCATGAACTTACAATTGTACAGCTTTCGTCGGATTCGAGGCATTCTGGACAAATAGCTTGTCATTGGCTAGAGTCAATCTCCAGCACGTCGCGCAGGGGTTTCCCCAATCCAACAAACTGTTCAAGGCCAGAAGTTGAGCAAACCCACTCACACATACACTCAAACATACACTCGCACATACACACAAACACACCTTTTATGGGTGTGTGTCGAACCTTTAATGGGTTTGTGTCAAAATAGGGAACCCCTGAACAAATTAAACGGCGATTTTCCTGTGGGTCTCCCTGCAACACACACACACACCGTGCCTCTCAACAATTCAAACGCTTCGGACGATTGCCCTGTCCTCAGTGCCATGGAGCGAGAAAACGCCATGGCACCTCACCATCCTCGGCCCCAAGAGGGGCAGGGCGGCCTTCAAGGCCAGAATCCAGTTGCCTGGTGTGGGTGATGCTTGCTGTTTGAAGGGTTTCCGGGGAAAACACACAAACCAACACGAAGTGTTGCTCACTTAGCACATGTGTGATGTGTCAAGTGGGCGATGGTGGTGCCCAAAAATGCAAATTCACACACACACACAACCTCATGTTCTGTTGCATCAAATACTCGACTACAACACGTATATCGGGTTGCGGGCTGCGTTCAGGGGAAGTTTGCTCCGTATCTTGGCTGTGTGCTGTCACCACCTTAGGTGCTTCAAACAATTTGACGACACACATCGAGCAACAAACATTGCCTTGTAATCTAATTCAGCTTGAGCTTGCATCAAAACCGGGCTTATGGCTTTCATCCGTGGTGAACTGCCGACATTGCCGACTGCATTCCAATGAATTGACAGGGCTGGCTCTCAAACACCTGCTATGCAACGATGTTTCCTCTCGCTGCTTTGAGCCCAATAGGCTCTTCAAGCGACTACGCGGTACAATGAAGCATTGGATGGCAATGTAGGGGCAAACAAACAACCAAAGAAATCAGCGTTACTCAAAAGAAACTGGCTGGTGCCTGGATGCGGGCCGTAAAGTATCCACATTCGTTGATTTTAGGGCATCTAGTAGAACAACACTATCCGTTTGCATCATATTTTCAACCTAAATGTCGCATATTTCATTTACATTCTGGGTGATGCACGATACTTTCGTTACTTTGGTGCCACACGTGAACAGCTTGTCACAAACAGGCATATCACTAAGGAGTACTTTCCTTTCAGACCAGTTGTACATCCGGCATCCTTCTTGATTAGAGCCCTCTGTGCTGCAATGTCCCCAACCAACTGGATTCATGACCAACTCCCCTCCAAATTCGGATCAACTCCAACAACTGGTGCATGACCAACGAACAAACAACCAGAAACTAGGTCTCTTGAATCCAACTTCCAAACAACCAGACATCACAATTCAGTTCTCTTCCACAGTCGGATCAACTTGAACCAAAAAAAAACAGATCCAACTTCCCTGTGTCCAACGTCCCTCAACGTCGCACCTTGGCGCAGCAAGCCATGGCCTGAGAGCAGGTTTTGCCGCCCAGCGGGGCTTGGATAACAATTTGGGTGGCAGGCCCGCCCGCCTCCCTTTTTTAGCGGTTTCAATAGAAAACCAAGGAAAAAAACATATGTTTTTTTTTGGTGGTTCTTTCGTTTTTTTACACCCTAAACCCTAAACCCTAAACCCATTGTTTTTCCTCTCCGGGGGGAAGTTCCTAGCACATTTTGATCTTGCTCTTTTTTTTAGGAGCTACAATTGCTATCGTCTCTGGAAGAATTCAATGGAGAACATACTGTTGGTACTAAGCATTTAGTACTTTCATACTCTTGTATGTCATTGTCATTGTGATTTAATATGATTTGCTATTATTTTAGCTTTTCCCCAAGGCATAGCTTAGGATGTAATGTTATTCAAGAAGAATCCCATCCTTTCCAAATTCTTTTAATAGCTGGAGTTACCTGTCATCTATTATTGGATCACTAGTAATTTTGTCTTTTTCATTCTCTTCCTTCCCTTCCCAAATCAATGAAACACCTATGAGTACTGACTAAAATGATTCTATATTGGGGCAACGATAGGAATAAACCCCCTTGATTGAGACATGATACCCAGCTCCAAAAAAAGAAGAAGAAAGTAACCTGTAGGAACTGGGAGAAAGAACAGAGATGAGTGCATCTTCCCGGGTCCGCGGGGTGGAGATGAGGCGAAGGAAGAACTTCTCTTTGACATGTCTTCCACATACAAAATCAACGGGTGGGTGAATGAAAGGGAAACAAAAAAATAGAGAGAGATAGAGAGAGATAAAGAGAGCATTTCGTCTGCGACTGTAATTCTCGTCAATATGAAAATGGCATGAAAGAAAGGGAGGTGGGTAGGGTATGCCATGTCTTTCCTTTGTTCATGAGATAGACCGTGCGTGCGGAGAGATCCACACGATTGAATGTGATGGTTTTAATAAAACGCCTTGGGTCCGCAACCCCAAAATTTTCTCTAAAGCATAGGGGTCCATGGCGTCGGCTTGTTGACCTTGCGCGAACATCGCGCGAAACGAATCCAAAGGGTTTGCGGTGCCCCATCCCCATGCGGGAAACGGAGTGAAATGTGTCCAAACAAAATGTTGTCCAAGAAGAACACGATTTGCTGTTATCCATGTGCAATGCGTTTGTTTGCTTGTTTGTTTGCTTTGTGTCAGCCGATTTGTCATTTTCTGGCATCTATGGGTTTGCTCGCTTGCCCAAGAACCCTCTCCTGTCGCAGGGTTCCTTGTCTGTCCCAATTGTTTACATCACCTCACCAAACACATAAGCTTTCACATGGAAGGTGCTGTTCCGCGCGGCAACAAAAAACATTTTTTTCTGGGTGCTATGGAAAATCCGTCCTGCTTCGACACACATAAAAAGTTCAAAGATCCATCCAACCAACCATCTGGGTGAATTATGTTATTTCACCAGCCTGAAATGAGGTGGTTGGGGGGCTATTCCCCACATAAGCCCACCAGTTGAATTCGGTCGTGTGAGGTGTGAGGTGGTTCTAATTGGCCATGGGTCAAACACCCGTACCCCCTGTGAACATCACAATCTCCACTAAAATAATCTAAAATGGGTGGTGCACCTACCCCAAAATGGGATTCCATTGGTTTTGACAACCACAGCCAATTCACCCAGAACCATCAAGGCTTGATTTGCCTCAACGCCCGGCATGGGGCCCAAACCAAGCGCTCTTGCAGTTCCTGACGCTCCTGACGCTCCGCCTGCGATGTGCCTATTGAAGGCTCTCACAAGAACTCCGAGGGGCTCAGGGCACACTTCCCTCATGAAAATGATTTACTGGATCTTTACTTCCTTCATGAAAACGACTGGATCTTCAAACTTGCTTGGGTTGTTTGTCAAACATGGCCAATCTGTCGACACCGACACGGGAAACTCCCAAATCCGTGGAAGATTTTGACACCGGCCAGCACAAACGTGTGGTCGCGAGTAGCGAATTGCAGTTTGCCGTACCTGTGGTTCTCAGGCATTGGTTGTGGTGTCATCGAATGGTCAGTTCCGCAAGTTTGAGTATTTGTGTTGGGTGTCTTTCAGCGCCTCTGCACGCCAAGAAAGGCTGCGCTGCATGCACTCTTCCCGCAACTCGTCCACCGAAAGCTCCTATGGGTGCACGGCGTCGGTTCAAATTTGTCGGTCGTAAACCACAAATATCAGCACGTGACAGTCGTTTCATCATTATGGTTCTTTTGGCCTGGTGCCGTCTCCGAAATGATGCAACAGTAGATTAGTTGAAAGAGAAACTTCGTAGCCCAGTTTCCAACAATAGGGCTCGGCACAGTCACAGGGCTCGGCATGCATGTCAGTCCTTCCACAAGAGCACATTTTTGAGGTGCTCGACAAGCTCCTGGAAAGTGAGACATGCAACACTTGGCGTGCACATCCCCTTCAGCAGTCCTGTTCCGTGACACGCGGAATCGGAAAACACGGTGCGCATCATGTCGGCCATGGCCACTTAGGGACCAAAATGGAGACTCGTCAATGCTGGGCCACTTGTGACTGCCCATATGTATGGTTGTTCGCAGCGCTGACTCGGCTCATCGCCATTTAATTGTCCGCCCTACCCCCCCCTTCTAGAATATGTTCCCTGCCATCTAACTGATCCCATTTGGTGTATTGGTGCAATTGGTTGTCCACATTGTTGAAACATGTCGCATTTGTCCCGTACACTCAACTTGAATCAATATGTTCGACTGAGAGGCTGTGCGCTCTGATCAACGGTTCGCGTCATCCGCACGTTCAGCTTGAAAAATTGTTCCGCGCTTCAAAGTCCAGTGGCGGTGATTTGCGTCTTGGCCCAGCTACTAGGTAAGGGATGTGGGGCAGGGGCAACTTTTGCCACAACAAACATCACCCTATCAACAGGGAAGAGGTCGCCTCAAAACTGAAAAGCAAACCATCTACCCAAAGATGTTGCACACGTGCGAGATGCGTCAAGCCAACCACAGTCCCACGAATGCCCAAGTGGCCAACTTGGAGGTCAAAGAAAACACAGGCTTCCGAATCGGGGACCATCGAGAAAGCCTTGCACCCATCGAAACATGCAGCACCGCTGATGGGATGGACGGAAGATTGTCAGGGCAGTGAGACAAGGCCAACCATCCTCAAGGGCAGGGGCCATCAAATAAGGTCAAAGCAAACGGTTTGAAACTGTCCGCCACCCCGAACAAATGATCATTTTCCCCGGGGACAGGGGAAGGTGGTCGAACATGTAATCATTCAGCATCGATGGCATCGTGTCCTGTCGGCCCATCGCGCCGAAGGCCTCTTGCGGCAAACCAGACGCCTGAGCGTGACCACCTCCCCGGCATTCTTTTTGCAGGCGAAATGACAACTGAGCCCTTGGCCAGCGAGAGCCTCAGGCAAAATGGCAGGAGGGCTCACTGCATTTGCTGAATTTTCGGGTGGTTTTCCCTTGAAACGATCGCCACTGGAGGTCACCCAAAAAGAGAAATGGCCCCAGAAAACCGAAAGAATCAAAGGGCACAGGGACGTCCCTGTGCCGCCAACGGCTTCCATCAACGCAACGGCTTCACTGCCCATGCCTTCGGATACCTCAGCGCCGGGCTCACGCTGTAGCCCGGATTCCTGGGACACCTACGGCGCGAGTCGACACCGCGGCCTCTTTTGGTCACCCGGCAACAAAATGGGTCAAAACTTAAACCACCAGGAATCGGACCGCAGGTTTCCACGTTTCCATTTACCAGGATTCCATTTTGGGTACCTATTCTTGACCCACAGCCAAGCAAGGGCTCCTTACCCTCACACCCATTAATATGAATCTTTCCCGGCTTGGACCACTTTCCTTTTAAAGGGACCGGGTCCCGAACGTCAGGTTCCATGTGCTACTTGGTGGGAGGGTGTTTCCGGGCGTGGGGCACCAAATGAGATTTAAAAAAAGCGGGAGGGTACCTGGCGCAGTCTTTCAGCCACTCTTTGCACCTGGAGCAACTCCGGTTCTGAGGAAGGGGCAAGATCTACAAACTTCACTTTCAGCCTTTCTGGGTGGACATGTCAGAAGGTTTCATCGAAGACTTGCGGCCGGCCCGACGCTGGAAACGAGGTACCAAGTAAACCCAACGTCACCGTCACCAGGTCCCACGTCCCAAGCCCGCGCCTTTCAGTGAGCCGGGAGTCAAGGTTCAAAGTGTGTGGTTTGTCAACGCGGCGGGTTTAGGGCTTGGTGCAGGGCCCACGCAGTTCAGGGTTTAAGTTGAGGCTTTAGGGTCAGCGCGGGTCAGGGCTTCGTTCGGTCTAGGTTTCAGGATTTGGGATCAGCACGGTTGACGATTCAGGCCTTGGTTTAGGGTCAGCACGATTGAAGGTTTAGGTTTAGATCCCCCCGCCCCCGCCCACACACACACAGACATACTGACGCTGAACACCGGTCCAAAACCTACCTTGCATATTCAACAAAATATCTTGAACGCCCGTGCCCTTCACATTTGCATTCTGAGGGCGCCAAGACCTTTTATATAACTCTGGCATACAGGCATCCAACCTGAGTTCGCACTGGCGGTAGGGCTCCGGCAAAGCGCGCAAGGCTGGATGCAAAGCTTTCAGCAGAGCCTCATCGGGACCCAGGAAGAGTAAACATATTTCCAGTAGTGATAGATTCCTTCTAACAATCACGAGGATAAAATTAAAAATATGCTTAAGCCAATGGAAGAAATTCTTTAGCTTCCAGCCAAACCAGGGCTCCTTCTCCAAAATATGCAGGTAACGTGTCGTATTCCCACACACACACACACACATTCCACCCTTCTTCATGGGTTTGCTGTCCTGGAGAATCGGCCAAAGAAGTCTTTCTATCGGTTTCCAGCAAAATGTGTGATGGAGGGAAAGCGGTTTAGACTCGCACCCTAGGTTTGTTTGGAGCTTCCTCGTTGGGTATTTGGCCAACAAACTGATGCCAGTCAGCTGGAAATAAGTCTAGTACAAGGCCACAAGTTGCATCTCACTGTTTGCAAACCCTTTTCCAAATCAATAATAACCACATGGAACGCAGGGACCTCAATGCAAAGAGCATTCCTTGGCGGGTTTTGCCCCGTTTGAGAAAGAATCCAAGTGGAAACTGCCCCGGTTTCTGGGGGTTGGTCGGGTGCGCAGGTGCTGCAATGCCATGGTAAGAAACTGAGTAAGGGCAATGCTCAAAGGTTGCTGAAATGGTGGCAAAAGGGGGGTGGCCAGACCCAAGTTTGGTTTCCAGGGAAGGCGCTTTGTTGAGCAGCTGTTGGTGAAGGGGAAGATTCCAAATGGCGACATGCTCAAATATCGGCAAGTAAATCAGGATGGGTCACTGAACATGGGTGGAAACAGTCACACCAAAGCCTCATGGCTAAACACATGACGATGGCAACCAAATCTCCTAGCTGTCCAGCGGATTTCTATGTTGGAGACCTGGCCAGGTGGAAAAGGGGCAAAACAACATGCCACTCAAGGGCCTGGGCGTGGGAACTAGGGAGGTTCGAGAGAAAGCTGGACTACCTCTCCCAGTGGTTCTTCGTCTAAGGATTATTGGACTACACCCTGGCATTGTGACAAGCACCTCCCCTCCAACACTCATGGAAGCTGACGGGAGGGTTTTGGAAGATAATATTCCTTTTGGGGAACTCCTCTGTCCAATTCCATTGGAAGAAAGAGGGTCAAAAGTTAGTTCATCCTGGGTTGCCACCACACACCTGGTTTTTCGAGCCATCGGCATTTGCAACGTATCTGAGTTATGTATATACCAGGATGAAAAAGCACCCATCCAATGTCATGGCCACGTCCCAGCTCAGTTAGGTGTTTAGCGCCTCGAGGAAGCCACAAAGGGGACCACAAGCCAAGACCTCAAATGACCGGCCATGGGGAAAAAAAGAATCGGCATCCTTGTTTTGGTTGGTTGAATTTAATTAAAGGAATCGAAGCCCTTCCCAAAAAAGGTTGAAAAAAGGATTGGCACCCCACTTGCCAACTGGGAAACCACACAAAACCACCGCAGAAGGAAGCCACTCAAAGATTGCGCCCCTCTCGCGCATGGCCAAAGGCTCCTTTCGAATCCGCATCCCCCCTGTAAGTTCCGTCCAGGAAGCATGGGACATGTATGACAAATTCCAAATACGTCCAGAAACTAAAAGGGAAACTTCCCCAGGGCCTACATCATAGTATCAAGTCCCCTGGAACAAATCGAATAGCGATAGATTCCCTTTAAAACGGGGGAAATACAACATGCTCTTATGGAGAATCCCCAAGTAAAGGACCTACATCAGAGTGAGGTCTGGTTTTTCCTTCAAGTGAGCTCCCCACCAGTGGACATGGGCCGTGTTTTGTGCCATGGCCGTTGGCTCCCGGGCGCAGGCTGCGGAATCTTTCCAGAGGCACGCCTTGCTCCTGCCACCGGTCCGCCCACCTGAAATGAGCGAGCCGGGGCCAAGGAGTCCATCTGTCCCGAAGTGCCTCCGCCCTGAAATGAGCCAACGACCAGCAAACCCTGGTGGAAGACACCGGTGGAGCATGCCTTTGAGGGCAATGAGGCGTGTCTTTGGCTTAGCCCAAGGATGGGAAGTCCATGAGTCCTTCTGACATGCTGTCTCAGGGTGCGGATGTCCGATATCAAGCCACAGAAGTCAATGACCTTGCCAACTTGTCTGTGGTTGCCATGAACGCCAAGGGTGCAGAGGCAACTCCACCAATATGCATGTTTCTAAAAAAACCATGGGGACCCCAAACATGCTGGGATTTGAATTTCCCCTTGGAGAACCCATCTAAATCCAGGCAACTTGGGGTCTGGCACAAGGGCCTAGATTAGCATATGTTAGCCAACTTGGTTTGCCTCCTGTCCAGTTTTCTGGGCTCTTGTGGGTAGACTCATCCAAAGGTCTACCCGCAAGACCCCAGCAAATCGGGGTGGGGCAAAACATGGTTTAAACACCACCTTCACCAGAAATCGTCGTCGTAACCAGTGGTTTAAACATGCTTAAACCAATGGGTAGCGGGCCCCACCCTATGAGAAAATCGGACAGGAGGCAAACCAAAATTTTCTTTCTCGGCGTTGCCCGCCTCAGAACCAGGCGCTCCCTGAGTTGCTGCCGCTTCTCCTCCTCGGAAAACCTCAGAGCCCGAATGATCGGCCTTGCCCGTTTTATGGTCTCCCAGGCCAACCCCAAGATGGCACGACCACAAACAAACAAACAGACAAACAAAAATCAAACAAACATCAAACAAAGAAACAAAGAAACAAAGAAGCAAAGAAACAAAGAAACAGAGAAACAAAGAAACAACCAAACAGACAGACAGACAGACAAACAAACAAACAACCAACCAACCAACCAACTAACGCACACACGGACACAAACGCAAAACAACAAAACTCACACACACACACAAACATGGACCGGACGTGCGAGGCGACGAAAGCGAAAACTTCTGGACCGTGGACAAGTCTACGCCAAGCACCGGTTGGGTGCCTACGACTGGTGCAGGATTTTGCGCAACGTTTGCATGAGCACTCTTGCCAAACTCAAGGAAATGCAGCTCTCCCTTTTGCTCATGGTGCATCATAGGTCACAGGCTGTTCCACAAACAATGATGCTCAGCAAAAGGGCCATTGCCATACCCAGAATCCATGCCTAGAACATTTCACACAACTAGCTCGTTTTAGAAGGCTGGACATCCTTCAAGAAGCATGCCGATGACATTGGGCGGTAGCCCAGTCTGAAATCCAAGCGAGAAAAACCGCAACTGAGGGCAAACGTTAGACTCTCTTTACATGAGTAGCTTCCTGTGGTTTCCATTTTGAACATGGCCAAATGCCATTCATAATAAATTGCCACTGTGGCTCACTGCTTTGTACACCAATCCCAGGGCTTCACACTTTGAATCCTTCCGGACCTGTGGTCATTCTGCAGTCAATGGCCGATGATATTCGATCCAATCTCTTTGTGCATTGCAACGGTCGTCTCTTGTAGTCCCTTTGAAGGCTTCGATGGCCATCTCTTAGGCTTGAGGTGGGCAGTTTGATGGCCGAAGATTTGGGCAGGCCCACCAAGAACCCCGATTGGAACCCATCTAGTACAAGTTTGCTGCATCTTCATTCGGAAAAAACCTGACATGAGAATCTGAGAAGGGGCCAGAAGGGACCCCGGGTCCCAAGATGGTTGGTTTTTTCTTTTGGTTTCCTGTTAACACCAACCAAACCAGAGCTTCCCCAAAACGAGACCCACCGCCTCAGGCGCTGGCTGGGAGTCCTGAAATCCATGGGACAGCCCTTGGTCGTGGCATTCGCCTCGCCTCGAACCACGGGGTTTTCTGGTCGGCCGAGTCTAGCTGACCCCGGTAAGTACAAACATTTCGATTCATCTAAGCGAGCCAAGAGTCAAACATCAGAATCAGTATCCTTCTCATCCTCATCCAAATCCTTCATCCTGATCCTGATTATTCTCCTCCTACCGTCAGCATCAGCATCCCATTATCATCATCATCATCATCATCATCATCAGCCTCCTTGTCATCATCATCATCATCATCATCATCATCATCATCATCATCATCATCATCATCATCATCATGATCATCATCATCATCATGATAATCATCATCATCATGATCATCATCATCATCATCATCATCATCATCATCATCATCATCATCATCATCATGATCATGATCATCATCATGATCATCATCATCAGCATCATCAGCATCATTGAATCTGGGAACTTCTGGGGAACTCGTTTGCATCGGCGCCTCTTAGCTTCTCTGTACACTTTCGCTTCTCCAAATGATCTCAGGCTTCCCTCAGAATCAGCCCCACAAAGTTTACCCGCAACATATAAAAAGCTTTCTACTAATGCAAAGGGGATACGCTCTAAAGCTGGTAAAGAAAGAGCACGGGGTTCGACATTGAGTCTCACTTGATGGGCCAAACAAGTCCAAACTTTCAGGAACTCAGGGAGTAAGGAGTTGGGAGAGGTGGGTTTTGAATTAAGCGACCGCCAAGCAAAAAGACCACTCCTTAGGACTCCTCAGGGCTCAACCACCTGCAGTGCCCCTCGCATGGTACCGAAGGGAACTCACGGTTCACTGATTGCCTATTTACGATGTATACTCACTTCCGATCGAGTGGACTGTCAACTTCCTGAGACTGGCCAAAAAACACCTGAGTCACAATCAAAACCCGGTACTAAAATGGTCTACCCAGAACCATGTGAAGAATTAAGAAGGCGGCCGCAGCTAGCTACGGCTGGGATTGTCCCTTGACCTTCATCAACCCGAATCGGTTTTGAGCACGTGGCTCACCTAGACCTAAGCTGCTTGTTTGCCACCGAACATTTCCCGTAGAAGTCCCCACTGAACCGAAGTGAGTGAGCTGAAATTTTCGGCTCCCTGGCTCCCTGGGCTGCCGGCAACTCGTTCAGTGCCAGGGCCCCCCAAAGCTGGAGCTGCCTGGATGGAAAGTTTCTTTCGGCTGATTCCCAGAGGTCAGGCGGCTTCCCAAAATTTGACACCAACTCATCCCAAACTACTAGGAGTGAGTGGTTCTTTTCAAAATCACACCATTCATCCCAAACTACTTCGAGGAGTGGGTGGTTTTGTTTTTTCCTCAGCCCAACTCATCCCAAACTACTTCGAGGAGTGGGTGTTTTTGTTTTTTCCTCAGCCGGACATCTTGGTCGATAGGCTCGAAGAAGCTTTGGGGTGGTTCGGAGCAGCTTTCGAGGGTTCAATTGGAGGGTTCCAGGCTGTTGGGGATATCACCTGGGCTTCCTTGAAGGGAAAGCAGAACAACCAGTTTTGGGGTACCTCTGGTTTGACACATGGCCAAATAGCTTTGTCCACCAAACGTCTTCCACCGTAGACTCACTTCCTGAGTGGAGCCCAAACAAAAAACAAACTGCTTGTTTACCAAGAAGTCCTCCCAGAAAGTGTTGGAAGAGAGTAAAATAAGGGTTGATGACCTGGTGGCCTGAACATCTGACGTTAGCTAAGTAGGGATGACGTAGCTGGCATCCCAAGCATGACCATCGCTATGGCCAGTGGCCAGTGGCATGTACGGGGTTAATCTCACGAGTGGCCAGTGGGACCTGTGACAAGAAGATTAATCTCTTCCCCCTATTAATAAATACGGCCCCCCCCCCCTATTATAAATAAATCCCCCCAAAAATGTATTTTTTTTAAAAATTTGGGTTTTTGGGGTTGGTTTCTGTTGCTTTTCCAACAATGTGAGGGTTCACGTAGGATTTGGATGAAATGGATTGAATTGTAAGGTCCGCGAGTAAGCGGTTCAATAAGGAAATTTGATGTATCATTATATTTGTTTACCAGTTTACTGGTTGTTTGTTTGCAGCCAGGCAGGTTAATTAGCCAGCATGTACGGGAGAGAGACAGTCGCAGCTAGAAGACAGCTTTTGGGGACATGTTTGGGAAAGCAACCTTTTGGGGAATTGAGGAACCCACCTGTTGAAAAGTGAGGCTGGAAGCTTGCCAAAAGTGCCCCCTAATAAGGATTCCAAGACGTTAGTATTGGTTTAGTATTGGCGCAATGGAAAATCAATTGTGTGGAGTAGAAATCTGGTCCCGGGCCCCGGATTTGCATTTATTATTAATTGGGGTCATTCATTAATTGGGGGAGCGGATTACGGTGCCAATCTATGGCCCCTCGCACGACAAAATCCCCGGTCAAACGTCACGGCTCACGATGAGACTGGGACACCGTTCCATGAAACCGCCGCTGCAATATCAACACATCCGCAGCCAAAGGAGGCACCGAGCTGGGACTCGCATGTGTGAAACTACATGTCTGGAACATCGGGGCCTACCGATTGCAAGACGTGAGGGAGCAAATCGTGGGTCAGCCATGCAGAAATGACACCCTCAAGCTTCCATTTGCCCGAAGCCCCGTGGAAAAAGCATGCTTCTAGCAGTGCTAGGTTGGCTTTAAAACCAACAGCGGAGAAAATTAAACATATTCTTCAGATGGAAGCAAACAGAGCCTCCAGGCGTCGGCTCTTTCTCATAGTGCGAACGTATACGGTGCGGCGCATCAAACGGCGCCTGGGAAGGGGATCGCTGCATCCCGTCCCAGCAGCCAGACATGAGCGGCAAGCGCGACCTATGAAAACCCAGCGCCCAAGTGCTCTCTCCTTTGAAATCTCCGTGCCTTCGCAACTGGTTCAACTGACCGCAAATTGGAAAAGCACGAGGCAACTGACTGCTCACACAAAAGCAACTGCTCATCTGGCAGGTCACATTCTCACATCTTGTTTGGAAGCCAAGTCGACTTGGACTCTCAGCTGGCCGGGCTCACTTGGCTTTCACTTTCAGCAGCTTCTCACACGGCTTCCCGTCTTTGTCCCCGTCCAGCGAGGCGAAGTCCCCGTACTCCGGGAAGTACTTGTCAAACCACGCCTGGCCCAGTCCAAGGGACATGCTTCAACAAGCCATCCGCATCGCATTGGAAACATGCTAGGCAGTGAAGAGAAACTGAGCTTGCCAGTCTCTAGATGAAATCACATTGCCAAACTACTGACAATCAACAATGGAGAATGCAGATCCCCTTCTCTCTGTACATGACTGTAGCTCTGCACTTCAGTGATACATATGACTTTCGCTCCTTGTCGCAACAATCTTCGTGCCGTGTATTGTTGTAAACACATACTTGAATGGCTCAAGCTGGGAATTGCAACAGGTTGTAAATTGCGCCTGCCAATTGTGTACTGCGCATTTCGGACATATTCCCACGCTAGGGAACAGGGGCCTGCATTTGGACGAAACTCGTGGGACCCGACACTTATTCCAATTGAGCGGGGATGCGGTGGCACGTAGAATCCACTAAGATTGCAAGCCGTGGCAAAGGGGCAACACATTTTACCCCTGCCTTCGCCTCTTCGTAACTCGCGAAATCCTTGCAGGTCTTCCTCTCCTCGGCTTCAGCCCCCGGTTTTTTGGCTTGCCATGGGCACCCGGGGCTTGCGCACTGCATTCAGCACTTCACACGAAAGTAATCGAACCAACGTCACATATGAGGTTCCGCCGAAATGTCCTTTGTGCGAAAAGGATGGCAGAAATCAGGGGGGAGCGAGCGAGAGAGAGAGAGAGCTAGAGAGCTAGAGAGCTAGAGAGCTAGAGAGCTAGAGTGTGCGTGTGGGTGTGTGTGTGTGTGGGTATCCATACTGCTCGAATGTTGAGAACCCTATCGGTTTCTGCTCCGGAACACTTTGACCTCCTGAATCCATCGATGCCGTCCTAGAAGTCTGGTCTCTCCATGTACCACATAGCACTTTTAGTTCCCAGCCCTATCCGCCATTCAATCGGCGAAAAAAGCCTCTAAGCCTTGGCAATGTCGTGGATCCCTTTGCTGGACTAGGCAGTTCCTCCGGCCATATGCCGATGAGGTATGTTTGGAGTGGGCCGGGTGCGTGGGCCAAGGTAGTTTAACGATGAGGTGTGTCTTGAGGGGGTCAGGGTCCTAGCATATTGAGTTCCCCCCGCAAGTTCGGATCTGGCAAGTGCTTTCATGGATCTTCAAAGCGAACACCCATCCCCCAGTCGGAAGGCATGGAGTCAGCTGTGCCCGGACACTCACTTTTTGTCCTTCGCCGGCAGGGTCATTCCGCCCTCATGCTCGTTGACATTGCGGTTTTAACTTTCACTCAGCCCATGCGCGAATTGCGCCGAATTCGCGCAGACAGTAAGATGGCTCCATTTGCAGTCAGTCCTCCGAGTCTTGACTTCTCCGAGATCTCGTTTTCCGCGGAAATTTGTGGCCCTTCTCGATTGGCACCGCCAAAGCTGAGGTCAGCTACAGCAAAGCGTTCGGGCCACTCCACTCAAGATGCTCTGCCAAGATGGTCGTTCTGACCTGAGCACTCAACGTGTCGACCATGCCTCAAGTAATCAAGGCAATCAATGACTGCGCCGTGCTTATCAGGGATCGTGACCAACAGGTTTACTGTTTACTTCACTTCAAGTGCAAACTCTCCGAGAAACCAGCCAGAGATCTCGGAAATAGTCACATGCCCTTGATTGAGTGCATCGCAAAGCGGAGGATCCCGCCACAACTGAAAAGGGACACCTCCCCGGAACCGTTGTGTTGCCGCAATGCAACTCATGTGTTGAGAAACAGTATGCTCATTGGCCCGAACGACCATAAAGTTAAATGCTGATTTCTTGGGATGAGAAGGCTGTTGGTTTTCATTGTTCATTTTCTCTCCAATTGGACCCTGCCAGTGTGGTTGGCCGAGAGGGACGATTTTTCAGGCCACTGGTGAACCGCACCTTTCCGTTTGGTTCTTTCTGACAAGACACGGGCGTAAATTGAAAACCACAATGCATTCATGTTCTATTCGTGAATTGAAATCGGAAAGGCCACCCTTTGACAAGCCACCTCCTGGCTTCCCAAAGAAGCCAGCGGGCTCCAACAGAAGTTCATCCAAAAACACGGGCCCACGTTTGCACCATGTCAGTTGGCACTTCCACCCAATAAACACAAGTCTGTGGCCATGTTTTGGCGATATCCTATAAAAATTACCTCCAAATGATCGTGTAAATTGAGATGCCACCCCGAAAGGTATGTTTGAGAAGTCTTTCGCAGTGCTTCTTTCCGGCGTTTCGCCACTATAAGTCATTCTTCGGTATGAATCGCTACCAGGTTTTACATGGGGTTCCCGCCCCCAAAAAACCTTTGGCGAAACGCCGGTTTTGGATTCACAGCGTCTTCTTGTGGGCCAAGCCCTTCCAATCCAGACCTACTGGGAGAGTCCCACTCTTCGGCTTTCCGGAACTGCAGCTTCCCATCGTCGGCTTCCATTGAGGCACTTCATGCAAGCACCGAGACCCGGCAACGGGGCGCTTTGGCATTTTTCCAACGGGAAAAGCTTAGGTTGACAAGAGGCGCTGTCCTTTCCAAATGCCATTCGGCGTGTACTTGCAACCTTCGCCAGGGAATGGGGGAATGAAACCGTTCTGGCTTTCCCTTCAAGGAAACCACCAGTTTGGTTTTTGTCGGGCTCATTCCAATTCTCATTCCCATCCCTCTCAGTCGCCGAAGGTGTCCTTAAGGGTCTCAAAACGACACTGTGGCCTTTAGCTCAAAGGGTACCCAAAATCTTTGTTGACGTTGGAAGGGGAAAAAACACTTAAGTTTTGGCAGTTCAGTGGTTGGATTTCAGCCAACCACCACCATAAGCACAAATGTGAAAACATGTTTCCTCGGGTGCTTTCTGCCCCCCCTGCTAAAAGCTTAACTTTCAGCGGTAATACGGAAAACCCGTGAGTTGGCAAAAAGTTATTCAGTCCTAACATCCCTTGGCAAAATGCACCAAAGTTTCCCAACAACAACCCTGAAACAATTCGAGGACCCTCAAAGGGTATCTTTGTCATTTGTCTTTTTGGTGTTTTGGTCTTTGCCATGTGGCCTTTGGCTCAAAAAACCCAAGCTGATTAATATTCGGGGTTGTTCGCCTCCAAACCTGATGGTTCCCTCACCCAAAACCACCCCTGTGAATAAACTGGGTTCGCGGTTTTTCCTTGGGGTGGGGGTGGTTTCCCCTCACGTCATGATTTTTTCTCCACCCTCGGTTCCTCGATTGGGTGCCCAGCGGCCGGGCCAGGGCCTCCACGGCCAGGGAGCCCAAGGACGCCACCGCCAGCTCCGTGGTGAGGATCCTGCGGCCCAAGGTCACCTGAGAGCCCCACGCGCCGCGTGCCGCAGTGCCCCGAACGAGGGCAGGGGGGGTGCCCCTCTCGCTGTGATTTTTTGGTTTGGGGTTTGGGGGGATCAGGTTTTTTTTCTCCTTCAGCTTTTTGCTCTTTTCTCTCTCTCTCTCTCTAACGAGGGCAGGGGGGGTGCCCCTCTCGCTGTGATTTTTTTGTTTGGGGTTTGGGGGGATCATGTTTTTCGTCCTCCTTCAGCTTTTTGCTCTTTTCTCTCTCTCTCTCTAACGAGGGCAGGGGGGGTGCCCCTCTCGCTGTGATTTTTTTGTTTGGGGTTTGGGGGGATCAGGTTTTTTTTCTCCTTCAGCTTTTTGCTCTTTTCTCTCTCTCTCTCTCTAACGAGGGCAGGGGGGGTGCCCCTCTCGCTGTGATTTTTTTGTTTGGGGTTTGGGGGGATCATGTTTTTCGTCCTCCTTCAGCTTTTTGCTCTTTTCTCTCTCTCTCTCTAACGAGGGCAGGGGGGGTGCCCCTCTCGCTGTGATTTTTTTGTTTGGGGTTTGGGGGGATCAGGTTTTTTTTCTCCTTCAGCTTTTTGCTCTTTTCTCTCTCTCTCTCTCTAACGAGGGCAGGGGGGGTGCCCCTCTCGCTGTGATTTTTTTGTTTGGGGTTTGGGGGGATCATGTTTTTCGTCCTCCTTCAGCTTTTTGCTCTTTTCTCTCTCTCTCTCTCTCTAACGAGGGCAGGGGGGGTGCCCCTCTCGCTGTGTTTTTTTTGTTTGGGGTTTGGGGGGATCAGGTTTTTTTCTCCTTCAGTTTTTTGCTCTTTTCTCCCTCTCTCTCTCTAACGAGGGCAGGGGGGGTGCCCCTCTCGCTGCGTTTTTTTTGTTTGGGGTTTGGGGGGATCAGGTTTTTTTCTCCTTCAGCTTTTCGCTCGTTTTTTGTTTTTTTTTTTCTCTCTCTCTCTCTCTCTCTCTCTCTCTCTCTCTCTCTCTCTCTCTTTCTTCTGTTTTTGTTTGTTTCCCACGGGTTCGGGGTTCCCGAATCGACGGCCGGCTCCCGAATCGACGGGTTCCAGATAAACCAATGGAATCCCAGAAGGTTCTTTTCCCCCCCCCAAGAAAAAATACACCAGCATAGACCCCAGATAGCACACCACGGCTACGAACCATGACGCAGCATTGTACTACTTCCCGCGGCATGAAGATGATGATGTTGACAGCTACTCAGCATAGTGCCCCACATAGACGCGCAGACAACGTCCTAGTGAGCTCATCAGCAAAACGATGATGTTGACAGGATGATGCTGATACACCAGCCACGAACGATTCCGCGCTACATATCTGGCAGAAAAAAGGAAGAGACGACGTCCTGATGAGTTCGACAGCATCCTGATGATGCGGACAGCATCATGATGATGCTCACAGCATCATGGTGATGGCAAAGGCAGCATCCTGATGATACCACAGCCACGAATCATCTTGCGACAGTGTAATGAAATTCAGCATCATCCTGATGTTGACAGCATTATGCCCGCCACCACAACCACGAACCAAAACGCCGCATCGCAGCGATTGCAGCATCATCATGACGTGGCTGACAACATCATGATGATACACCAGCCACGAACCACTACGCGCGACAGTTAGAGCAGCAACGACGTCGTCCGAATCGGTTCAACAGCATCATGATGCTGCGGACAGCATCATGATGCTGCGGCCGGCATCAGGATGATGCGACAACCACGATACCCCAAACAGCACCCGCCCTAGCACCCTGCCACCCGCCGGCAATCTCCGAAAATTGAGCCCACGACGTCAGCAGCGCCTCAAACAACACCCCAAACAGTACCCCAAAACAGCTGCATCAGCTCCCCAAACTGCATGCGGCCATCAATCTTGCAAGAATGCGCCTGCACCATCACCAGCACCTCAAACAGCACCCCAAACTGAGTGCCCCCCCACTGTCCATCAGCGCCTTTAACAGCACAGGCACCAACCTCAATCAGCAGCGCAAACTGCATGCCCCGTAGCACCCGGCCGTCAGTTTCGCAAAGCGGCAAGCACCCGAAACTGCAGGCCCCCTACTACCTGGTCGTCAATCTCGCAAAACAGCACCTCCACCAACACTCCTACATGCCCCCTATTGCCCCCTCTCTCGCAAAGCGGCACCTCCACCAGCACCCGAAACTGCATGCCCCCTAGTACCCGGTCGTCAATCTGGCAAAACAGCAGCTCCACCAACACTCCTACATGCCCCCTCTCTCGCAAAG